GATTCCTCAGCACCACATAAGCAAAAAGAAAAAAGCCGGAAGTGGTGCTGTGGCTCAAGTGGTAGAGCGCTAGCCTTGAGCTGAAGAGCTAAGGGACAGCGCCCAAGCCCAGAGTTCAGGCCCCCCGACCAGACCCCCCCAAAAAAAGACTGAATAACTTAGTCAAGGCTCCTTAACGTTATTAAAAACTAGACAACAATAACTTTAATACAAAGTTTTCTTCTAAAAACCAGTTGGAACAAACAAAACTGAATTTATTTATATTTATAATGTACAATAAATATACACCCAACATACTTATATTTTCTACTAAAATATTCATTAAATTTTAGTGGTAGAATGTTAGGAAAGTCTAATTGATTCTTCAAAGGTCACACATATCATAAAAATGCTTCTGAGAATGGACACAGTTCACTAGTCAAGGCCTGAGCATACAACATTACTTGGCTTGTCCCTGTCTGTTCCCTACAGTGCCCTTTTCATAGTGAATCATAAAGTCAATACAAAAATTATTTTACACAGTGAATTCTGCAATAAAAAGACACAGTATGTTCTTGGTAGGTTACATTTGGCCTCTAAATTCCATTCTCTAACCTAGTTACACAGAATACAAAGCTACTGACCTTTGCAAATATAGCCCATTCATTTCTTTAGGCTTTTGACTAATTAGACAACAGGGAGAGAAATGTAGGGTGAAAGAGAAATCATCCTAGTAATTTTTCAATTCTTTAACCTTGTCATCTTGCCATTAAAAAGAAGTTATTTTGATTGGTACAAGAAAGGCCATGATGGAAAGTTCTGGGACGATGGCAGAGGAGAAGCTGGAGGCTAAACAAGCTCTTGCATAGAAAGCAGTTTTAGTGTTCCAGTGAACACACATCAAGTGTGCCATCACAGGCCAGAGAGGCCAGAGAGGGAAAATCCAGGCAAGGAGACAGACCTGAGCACTTGCCAGCAGCTGCAGCTGCGGCAGCTGCCGCCATACCTGCATCATGGAGCATCTGGGACAAAGGTGCCAGATGCGGCAGGCGAGCGGATTCTACTAGACACCAGCAAGAACTGACAAGGAGTGGACATCTTCATCCTGCAGTCCGCAGACCAGAGAGGACCAAGGAACCAAGACTCCAGCGTGAGTAGAAGCCTGACAACCTCACTCCTTCTCAGGGAACAGAGGAGGAAAGGCCACCCCTCCCCCCCTAGTACCTGAGACCTCCATCTTTGATACTGACAAAGGCCCAGCTGAGCAGCTAGCTCCAACTCAGGCCTTGCAAGAAAACTAGAGTCATTTAGCAGGTCACAGGAACCTACCCTGACCTGTTAGGCTCAGCTCCCCGCAGGGAAAAGTCACCCAGCTTGGGCACCCAGTCCTAGGAGTGGCTTTCTTCACTGGGTAAACAGAACCAGAGGCTGCTCCTCCCTACAGCAGCCTTGACAATCAATTGAAATTCAGTAAACATAAACCCTGAGAATGGCTCCAGGCTGGGCTCTGTGAGTTTCTCAGAAGCTAGCTCCTCAGGGAAAAGCTACTGTTTGCTGAAAGGCCTCAACTCTATCCAGAACCTAGCCTCATCACAGCATCTCCAAAGTAGAGGAAACAGCCATCTCCCTCTTTTGTGATACTCAAAGCAGATCTCCCTCCCATTGAACTAGCTTTGGAGGAGGATCACAAAATCCTGGGTAAAGCAGAGCATTTTTCTGCCTGCTAAAACAAACTGACTTAAGAAACCATCCAAGCCACAGGAAAATCAAACACCACAAGCAGATCAGAGACACCAACAAGAGACTGGTTATGAACATAAGGGAGATACAGGATCTTCCCATCTACCCCCCCCCCAAAAAAAAAATCAAAGAACTCTTTTTTTGTACCTTTTACATAAAAATTTTTTTCTAAAACTTTTTAATTTTTAACTTTATTTTTTTATTTTCTATTAACTCTTTTTTCTTCCTCTTATAATTTTTAATTTTTATTTTAGGGGTATATGTGTGTGTACTTTTTTTTCTTTTTTGTTGAATTTTTTTTTGTTTAGCTCTACTGACCATTTCATCCTTTTTTTCTTTCCTTCTCATTCTTTTCACTTTTTCTTCTCTTTCATTCTTCTTTGCATGACTTAATTCCTGTTCTGCTCATCCTCAGATATACCCATAGATCATTATTAGATCTTAGCCTCCATTGTATACACACTTAATCCAGAAATTTATTACTCAATTTAAAACCTCTTAGACTGAAATTCCTTAATAACAGTACTACCTCTTTAAACCTATATAATATTTTAAGCATTTTTATTTTTAAGTTTTTCACATCTTTCTATCTCTCCCCTTCTCTTACTCTATCCACGTTCTTCTCTGAATATTACGTTTTCAATTTGCATAATTTTTAAGTGTTGCACTTTTTAATTTGTTTTTCTATTTTTTCTTGTCTTTTTTTTCTTTCTTCTTCTTTTTTTCTCTCTCTACAATTATTCTATCCAACCTATTTCCCATTTTGAGATTAGGAGTTAGTTAACTCTCCCACTGCCTTTCCACATCACTCTATGCCTATTTTTACCCACATCTCTCCCTAAACCTAATAATTTGTTTGCACAATTCTTCTTTGCAATTCATAGCCCATTAATACATAGTTGTTTGATGCTGAATAGATATATCTGTTGAACTAGATTGTATCTGCAGATTTTTGATTGTGCAACTACAGACTTTGTTTGATTCTTGCCTTAAAATAGAGTGCTAGCACAAAACTGGTGTTACTTTCATCCCAAATGGGCAGAGCAACCCGGAAAAACACAAGAAAAATGGCAAGTCTGGGTATCTCAATTCCAACTCATGATAATCAGGGGACAGAAAAGATAATGAATAATCCAGAGGAGAGTTCCCAAAAAGCTCTACAAATACTACTGGTAAACATGGTAAATGAAAAGACTGAAAACCTGCAAAGGACTCTGTATGAGTGTGATAGGGAGAGAGAGGAGGCAAAACAAAGGTTAATACAGGAATATCATGAGCGTGAGGAAGCTACTCAAAGATTGATACAGGAATTGTGTGAGCAGCTTGAAAACACTCAAAGAGAAATAAAGGAATAGCATGAGCAGGCTGAGATCAGTCAAAGAGAAAGTCAGGAATGGAGTGAGCAGGCTGACAACACTCAAAGAGAACTACAGGAACTGCGTGAATGTGAAGAAGCTAATCAAAGAGTAATACAGGAATTGAGAGAGCGGGATGAGAATACAGAAAGATCACTAAAGGCATTCATGGAATCCATAAACAGAGAGCTGAGTCTGGGAGACCACAAAGGGAATGCAGAATGGAATCCAACAGAAGGAATGGGAGTCCAAGGAAACCATAACCAATCAACTAAGTGATTTGAGAATATACACTGAACACCAAATTAAGGAAGTAAAGAAGTTCATACAAGATCTAAAACAAAGCTCCAAAAAAAAATTTGAAGCCATCAAAGCCAACCAACTAGAAGGAAAAGAAATAAAAAACAAAGTAGAAAGTCTTGGTACTAGGTTAGACCATTCAGAAGATCGAATTTCGGGGATTGAAGACAGCCTAGATATTATAGACAAAGAGCATACAACCATCCAAGACAAATCCAAGAAAT